TCGAGAACCAGATGTCGGAACTCCAACAAAGAGCCTTAGAGAAAGCGTCGGTTACCTCGAGAACCAGATGTCGGAACTCCAACAAAGAGCCTTAGAGAAAGCGTCGGTTACCTCGAGAACCAGATGTCGGAACTCCAACAAAGAGCCTTAGAGAAAGCGTCGGTTACCTCGAGAACCAGATGTCGGAACTCCAACAAAGAGCCTTAGAGAAAGCGTCGGTTACCTCGAGAACCAGATGTCGGAACTCCAACAAAGAGCCTTAGAGAAAGCGTCGGTTACCTCGAGAACCAGATGTCGGAACTCCAACAAAGAGCCTTAGAGAAAGCGTCGGTTACCTCGAGAACCAGATGTCGGAACTCCAACAAAGAGCCTTAGAGAAAGCGTCGGTTACCTCGAGAACCAGATGTCGGAACTCCAACAAAGAGCCTTAGAGAAAGTGTCGGTTACCTCGAGAACCAGATGTCGGAACTCCAACAAAGAGCCTTAGAGAAAGTGTCGGTTACCTCGAGAACTAGATGTCGGAACTCCAACAAAGAGCCTTAGAGAAAGCGTCGGTTACCTCGAGAACCAGATGTCGGAACTCCAACAAAGAGCCTTAGAGAAAGCGTCGGTTACCTCGAGAACCAGATGTCGGAACTCCAACAAAGAGCCTTAGAGAAAGCGTCGGTTACCTCGAGAACCAGATGTCGGAACTCCAACAAAGAGCCTTAGAGAAAGCGTCGGTTACCTCGAGAACCAGATGTCGGAACTCCAACAAAGAGCCTTAGAGAAAGCGTCGGTTACCTCGAGAACCAGATGTCGGAACTCCAACAAAGAGCCTTAGAGAAAGCGTCGGTTACCTCGAGAACCAGATGTCGGAACTCCAACAAAGAGCCTTAGAGAAAGCGTCGGTTACCTCGAGAACCAGATGTCGGAACTCCAACAAAGAGCCTTAGAGAAAGCGTCGGTTACCTCGAGAACCAGATGTCGGAACTCCAACAAAGAGCCTTAGAGAAAGCGTCGGTTACCTCGAGAACCAGATGTCGGAACTCCAACAAAGAGCCTTAGAGAAAGCGTCGGTTACCTCGAGAACCAGATGTCGGAACTCCAACAAAGAGCCTTAGAGAAAGTGTCGGTAACCTTGAGAACCAGATGTCGGAACTCCAACAAAGAGCCTTAGAGAAAGCGTCGGTTACCTCGAGAACCAGATGTCGGAACTTCAACAAAGAGCCTTAGAGAAAGTGTCGGTTACCTTGAGAACCAGATGTCGGAACTCCAACAAAGAGCCTTAGAGAAAGCGTCGGTTACCTCGAGAACCAGATGTCGGAACTTCAACAAAGAGCCTTAGAGAAAGTGTCGGTTACCTTGAGAACCAGATGTCGGAACTCCAACAAAGAGCCTTAGAGAAAGCGTCGGTTACCTCGAGAACCAGATGCCGGAACTTCAACAAAGAGCCTTAGAGAAAGTGTCGGTTACCTTGAGAACCAGATGTCGGAACTCCAACAAAGAGCCTTAGAGAAAGCGTTGGTTACCTCGAGAACGAGATGCCGGAACTCCAACAATGAGGCTTAGAGAAAGTGTCGGTAACCTTGAGAACCAGATGTCGGAACTCCAACAAAGAGCCTTACAGAAAGCGTCGGTTACCTCGAGAACCAGATGCCGGAACTCCAACAAAGAGTCTTAGAGAAAGTGTCGGTTACCTTGAGATCCAGATGTGGGAACTCCAATTAAGAGCCTTAGAGAAAGCGTCGGTTACGTCAAGAACCAGATGTCGGAACTCTAACAAAGCGCCTTAGAGAAAGTGTCGGTTACCTCGAGAATTAGATGTCAGAACTCCAACAAAGAGTCTTAGAGAAAGTGTCGGTAACCTTGAGAACCAGATGTCGGAACTCCAACAAAGAGCCTTAGAGACAGTGTACAATGACCTTGAACAACAGGGCAGGAAAAATTCAATTAGGGTTTTTGGACTTGAAGACACCAAGGAAAACTAGACAGCTGAAGAATGTGTGGAAAAAGTTGTGAAGTTCGTCAAATCCATGTTGAAAGTGCCACTTCACAGTTAGGACATAGACAATGGACACAGACTCGGTAGATTTAATACCAGTAAAAGGAGAAGTGTTATAGTTAAATTCACCTACAGAATGAAAAAAATATGATGTTCTAGGTCCCAGGAGTGTTTTGGACTTTGAAAGATACTCAATGGCATAGTGCTAACCGGGTTGACAACTGCTAACGGACCTACTTGTATACTTACCTGTGATTTACCTGTGCATACTTGTGTATAGGTGTAAGTATACATTGGATATTTCTCCGAGACCTAAGAAAAAATTGAGATCGTTTATGATGGGTGGACCAACTAGAGCTTCAACATCATCGGGAAAAAACAGTGATCAAGCTATAAGTCAACGACTTGAGGAAATTACCAAAATACTATCCAGTATGGTCACTAGGACGGCCATGGATAAGAAACTGACAATTCTCAATGATGAGCTTAAAGAAGATGTCGGACAGAATTACAGCTTTAAAAGAAGAAAACGAGAGCCTTAGAGGAAGCGTCGGTTACCTCGAGAACCAGATGTCGGAACTCCAACAAAGAGCCTTAGAGAAAGCGTTGGTTACCTTTCGAACCAGATGTCGGAACTTCAGCAAAGAGCCTTAGAGGAAGCGTCGGTTACCTCGAGAACCAGATGTCGGAACTCCAATAAAGAGCCTTAGAGAAAAGCGTCGGTTACCTCGAGAACCAGATGTCGCAGCTCCAACAAAGAGCCTTAGCGAAAGCGTCGGTTACCTCGTGAACCAGATGTCGCAACTCCAACAAAGAGCCTTAGAGGAAGCGTCGGTTACCTCGAGAACCGGATGTCGGAACTCCAACAAAGAGTCTTAGAGAAAGTGTCGGTAACCTTTAGAACCAGATGTTGGAACTCCAATAAAGAGCAAAGCAAGAGGGAATGTGCAGTACAATGACCTTGCGTCGGTTACCTCGAGAACCAGATGTCGGAACTCCAATAAAGAGCCTTAGAGAAAGCGACGGTTACCTCAAGAACCAGATGTCGGAACTCCAACAAAGAGTCTTAGAGAAAGTGTCGGTAACCTTGAGAACCAGATGTTGGAACTCCAATAAAGAGCAAAGCAAGAGGGAATGTGCAGTACAATGACCTTGAACAACAGAGCAGGAAAAATTCAATTAGGGTTTTTGGACTTGAAGACACCAAGGAAAACTAGACAGCTGAAGAATGTGTGGAAAAAGTTGTGAAGTTCGTCAAATCCATATTGAAAGTGCCACTTCACAGTTAGGACATAGACATTGGACACAGACTCAGTAGATTTAATACCAGTAAAAGGAGAAGTGTTATAGTTAAATTCACCTACAGAATGAAAAAAATATGATGTTCTAGGTCCCAGGAGTGTTCTAAGGGGACACGCTTAAGCGTTGATGGGAAACTATTCGCTGTGTTGAAAGTAAAAATAGAAAAAGACAAGAATCAGATACGAAGAATCCTTTACGATACGCCACTGACCGAGGAGTACTTATTAAATGACTTGAACTTTACACATTCCAACTAGAGCCTACTCTGTATGAGTAGAACCGACAATGGACTTTACCACGGCTTTATCCCCCCTGTTGCCAATCTAAAAAAGAGTTGTGACGTATGGGATATTGTATGTGTGTAAGTGTTTCTGTGTTTGTGGTAAAAGTAATAGTGTTTTTTCCGTGGAAGTTTTAGTGCTAAAAGGAACAGATTTCTTGTATACAGGTAAGGTTAGGCATCACTGATTACTTCATATGAAATGTATGTACTGTACAGTATATGACTATGAAAATACACCCTTCAATTTTTTTTTCATAGTTTTATCAGTTCTAATATGATATGAATCTCATGTGGCGGTATTATTTATCACACCTTCACAAAACATTTGATTTCAAGTCTTCTGTTAAGATATTTAAGGAAAGAAATGATTTCAAGAGAACAAGCTATACAGAATAATTCAATAAATCCGGCAACCCTCCCACTTTTGATCGGTATGTTCTAATATCAGTGATATACATATAATTTATTTATATGTTCTGATTGTGACATCTTGTGAGCTGCGGGGTGGGCGATAGTAAACAGGGAAGGACAAAAAATGGGATATTTAGTTGCTTAGTCTGACAAAACGATATTTTGATCTAAATTAGCAGAGTGACTGTCACATAAATTAAATTCTCCATAATTGTTTAACATAAATGTCAATGCTGTATGAGGCTAATATTACTATGGGATGTCAGTTATAATTAGATGATATGAAAATTAAGAGTTGAATTGGTTTGAACAAAAATAACAACTTTTAAGGATCATCAGCATAGGGAGATATACTTAATATTATGTTATATTCCATTGGTTTCCTGACTAACTACATTACATATCATTCCCCAACATCACTACTTTGGGTTTCAGTAAACCATGGCCACATTTTGGATTTTCATTACCTAATACATACTAACTTGCTTTAACATGCATGCTTGATCATTTCCACTTCAAGTGTCAGAACAACAAAACACATTAACAACCATATTGATTACAACACAAATGACCATTGAGACCCATAGGCCTTTTGTAATGCATGTGCAATTTTTTTGAGGAGCACATGCATATGGTGTTACCCATGTCAAAATCACGTCCTGTCCCATCTGGATTCAGTGTCATCATTCTGGTGACTTCATTTCTGAACAGATATTGATAAACTTTATAACATGGTCAAGTATTAATTAATACCTTGAAGGCTCGAATGAGTTTGTATTGCAGGGTTCCGAGGTATATAGTCACTGTTACTGTTTTATAGAAATTTGTCAAAACCAATACAGTGACATCCGACTCTGGTGGCTTTGATTTTTGAATTAATTTTATACACCGGTCAGGTTTAAGAATACCTTGAGTGCTTTCCTTTTCTAGGTGCAGAAATAATGCCCCCCCCCCCCTCAAATAAAACAACAAACCTCTTTCCATGTGCTATACACTGAATATATAATACTGTTATTGCAGTGTGCATGACAGGAACCTGGGGTGAGCAATGTGGAGAAACATGTGAGGCAGGTTGCAGTGGAGAAGAATGTGATCCTATCAGTGGCCACTGTACTTATGGCTGTGTATTGGGTTACAATGGACCATTGTGTGACATAAGTAAGTAGGATATTTGTTGACAGCACTAACTTGTTTTCCTCTATTAAATGTCACATTACAAGGTTTTGACCTTTGGGTGATGTTGGATGATTATTCTTTGCAAATTTATATCAATTATACAATGTGATGATTTTTGTCAACGATTGCTGTTTCAAAAAATATAATTAGCACATTTGCTCTAATATATGAAGTGGAACTGGACTGGGTTGATCACTATAGCAAGCTCAAACTGCTGATTATTAAATCGGCAAAAGCTGATTAAAAAAATGAGGATTTTTTAATAAAAAAATAAAGGGTAGCTTAACCTTAACTGCTTTTCTGAGATCAAAATATAATTTGAAGACTTTTTACTGCCATAATTTAAAAGAAAATACTATTTTTATCAATTGTGCAAACATTCATGAATTCTAATAACACATATTATGTAAAGTTTGTATGATTTCAAGACCAACATTAGCAGACTGACATATTATTTTCTCTGTATTTTTTTATTTTTCTCATATTCTCCTCTATAAAATAAGGTATATGGCTCCATAAGAGTTAGTCAGTGGAAAATTGTGAATTTTTACAAAAGCAGATACTTATTGTTGTTGTCTGGTCTGATATCGCTGTAGAGTTACCGGGCTGTTAAGCAATTATATTAAACTACCTACCTAATTACTGTTTCAGAAAACAATATATGTGTGAAAACAGACACATTGGATGTTTATGCTGAACGAGAGACTACGCTGATTGTAATGGCACAGTACTTCACCCACCCACTGTCCAAAATTCACATAAAGTTTGGCAATGAAGAGCCTTGTTTGTTAGACAGCGACTGGGCTCACCTTAATGTAACTACAGGAATAGTTGCCTACAAAGGTGTCAGTGTGAATGTAACCGGCTTCACCCACCTCCATGTGGTTTATCATATGTTCTTTGAACCGACTACGGTTGTTAATGTCACACTTGACAACCAGGGCATCATCAACTATCACAATGTTACCTTCAATGCTCACCAACATCATATTGCTAAGGACTGTTACCAGAATGCCACAATAAACAATGCTAGTAGTGATATCTTATCACCCATCCCAGTGGAACGCAGCTCAATCCATACTTACTCTGTCAACTGGATAACTGATCAAAATTGCCTTGAATTCCATGGTGTCAATTCTGTGGTAATTATAGCTTATTTTAATAATTGTTCAATAACTAGTAAATATGTTTCTTCATTCTTGAGAAACATCTTTTCTGTTGTTACCAATGGTAGTGATCCTTGCTTGAATTGTAGGTGACCTTGGGCCATAGCACATGTACAGTGTCTGTTGCCAACTATTCTCTTTAAATACTAAAAAAGGCCTACAATTGCTTCCTGTGTTGATAACTGTCAATATCAATCAGATGAATGTCTTGACTGATTTCAAAGTCATGAGGTAAATGTGCAGAAATCTTAAAGCTTGACTTTGTCTGAAAAACCACTTATTAGTCCCCTACTGGTTTCCTCTTTGTCCTTCTGTGTACGTATATACGTAAGTAACACCAATGTTTAGCAGCGCTCTAGCGGCTTCATTCCTTGAGGGATTTTGATCAAACTTCACACAATTACAAACAACCGTAATATCTCGGACAAGTTCAAGTTTCAGGGTTGTCGGGTCAAGGTCAAGGTCACTGTTACTTTTTTTTTTAGAAAATTCATTGTCAGCGCTCTAGCGGCTTCAATCCATCAGGGATTTTGATCAAACTTCACACAATTACAAACAACCGTAATATCTCGGACAAGTTCAAGTTTCAGGGTTGTCGGGTCAAGGTCAAGGTAACCGTTACTATCCATTGTCAGCGCTGTAGTGCCTTAATTCCTTGAGGGATTTGATCAAACTTCACACAATTACAAAGGCGCACCATAATATCTCGGACAAGTTTGTATTTCAGGGTTGTAGAGTTGAGGTCAAAGCCACCGCTACTATTTATACAAAATCCTGGACAAGTTGAAGCCAGTGATTAAACATAGGCCGTATAGCTATATAGGATCAAGACATTGGCCTGTCACAGCATGCTTTATTTGGTACAGGACTGACAAGTTTGTTCAAACAAAAGACCTTCATTTACTGAGAAAAAACAACTGAAATCTTCGAACACACATTCATTAGGTATAGAATATGCTATTAAGCTTGTAAAATGTTACTTTTCAAGTTGTGACCTGAGACAATCTCACAATTGTATTTGACATTTCATAGTGACAGCATTATAAAGTATGATATTTGACATGTCATATTGACAGCATTATAAAATATGTTATTTGACATGTCATAGTGACAGCATTATAAAGTATGATATTTGACATGTCATAGTGACATCATAAAACATGATATTTGACATGTCATATTGACAGCATTATAAAATATGATATTTGACATGACATAGTGACAGCATTATAAAGTATGATATTTGACATGTCAAATTGACAGCATTATTAAGTATGATATTTGCCATATCATAGTGACAGCCTTATAAAGTATGATATTTGACATGTCATAGTGACAGTATTATAAAATATGATCTTTGCCATATCATAGTGACAGCCTTACAAAGTATTATATTTGACATGCCATAGTGACAGTATTATAAAGTATGATATTTGACATGTCATAGTGACATCATAAAACATGATATTTGACATGTTATATTGACAGCATTATAAAGCATGATATTTGCTATATAGTGACAGCCTTACAAAGTATGATATTTGACATGTCGTAGTGACAGCCTTATATACAATATAGCATATTTGACATGTCGTATTGTCTTGTAGGGGCAGACAGAGTCATGCATTAATAAATGGTATAGTTAGCTAATTAGGGCCCGGTATCGGAGATACGGGTGCCCTATAGTAATCTCTCTGTCTGTCTGTCCGTCCACAAATTTTGTTCTTGGCTGATAACTTCGGTACTTACTGACCGATGTACATGAAACTTGGTCAAGATGTTCAGTCCATAAAAATACACATTGATATAAAAAGTCAAGGTCAAAGGTCAAGGTCATCAGGTTCAAAGGTCAAGGTCAAATTTTACATATTTTCACTGATAAACATTTTGTTATGACGTTATGAAGCAAAGTTGATCAGAATTAAACAAGGAGTCAACTGACCAAAGGTCAGGTTCAAAGGTCAAGGTTAAATTTTGTATCTTTTTACTGGTGAAGATCTTGCTATGACACTTTGAAGCAATGTTGCTCAGAATTAAACAAGGAGTCAATTGACCAAAGGTAAAGGTCACTGGATCAAAGGTGAAAGTTAAATTATTTACCTTTTACCCTGATGAACATTTTGTTATGACGTTATGAAGCAAAGTTGATCAGAATTAAACAAGGAGTCAATTGACCAAAGGTCAAGGTCACTGGATCAAAGGTGAAAGTTAAATTATGTACCTTTTACCCTGATGAACATTTTGTTATGACATTATGAAGCAATGTTGTTCAGAACTTAGCACAGAGTCAACTGACCTTAGGTCCAGGTTAGGGGGTCCAAAGGGTCCAGGTCAATTTTTGTATTTTTCACCGATAAACATTTTGTTATGATATTAAGAAGCAAAGTTGGTTGGAATTAAAGAATAAGTCAACTGACCAAAGGTCAGGGTCACTGGGTTAATGGTCAAGGTCATTTGGGTCCAAAGGTCAAAGACAAAGTGGCCCCGATCTCTGACTTTGACCCTGTCTCTTGATGGAGGAGGTATATAAGGTGAAATAAAACAAATCAAAGCTAACAAATGAGTATTGTACCGGTATTTACATTTATGTTAGCCCAGCAAATATGGAGGTGGAAGGAAACAAGACTCACATCATAGTAGATGTAAAATGTATATTTTGCTTCCTTGCGATTCTTTTTGAAGTCCAAATGTCAAACGTCAAGCTCAGCTATATGGGCAGATTGCTTCTTGTTGATTATGGGGGATATATTGCCACAAGACGGGGCCCTTACTGACCTGTCAGTGTTCTAGTTGTTATATATTTGTTTTTTATCAAACAGCAATATGCCTACATCTGGGTTGTCAGATATTCTCAAGCAGACACATGCTGGATGGAAGGAAATACAAAAGTCGAGGATCCCATTTGGTATAATGGAACCGGAACACAGGAAGCTACATTTAGAATACCAGCAGACCTTTTGTTTATTGGATTTTATTTTATCAATATTAGAGCATATATTGAGTTATCAGTTGGAGGATTGCAGGTAGATTTCTACAGAAACATTAATGTAAGTATATATATCACAGGTAAGTTTGTAGAGACAATGATTAAGACTGTATTGTAAGAGACAGAGTTATGCTGCCAGTACAACAGTATATCATTTTACTGCTATGAGCTGACAAAAAGGGCAAAGTGAGCTAATGCCTTGACTTGATGTCCATTGGTGTCCGACATCAACTTTTCATTAAAGGTTATCAAATTACTCCACACATCGTCATCAGCGTCCATTTTCGTGACTTACTTTCGAAAAAAACTTTGTCCTGAACACTTGAAAAACATTTAACTAAATTTAGTCTGAAGCATTGTTAGATAAAATGGATTCAACATAGTATATTAAACAGAGGGTGTGCCTCCCTCCCCTGGGGGCCAATAGGATATTGTATATAGAACAGAGGGTGTGCCTCCCTCCCCTGGGGGCCAATAGGATATTGTATATAGAACAGAGGGTGTGCCTCCCTCCCCTGGGGGCCAATGGGACATTGTATACAGAACAGAGGGTGTAAAATTCTTCAGTTCAATTACCAGGTAAGGGATCTTTAATTTATTTGATCTATTAGCATCCTTGGGCTAAATATGGTTGAGCATTGTTCAAAAGGAGGTTGTGATCCCCACTGAGGCAGGAAGCTGGACATAATAGAGAAATAAGTTGATATTTAAAACCTAACTCTTTCAATGCTGCATGGTAAAGGGACTTTTAAACTAATTTCGTTTATAGAATTCATTGTTGAGGGGACTCAACTTTGTGTAAACTGAAGGTAAGGCCCCTCTGAGAACAGAGGGGTTAGACCAACAGTGTAAGCTGATTAGATATAGCTAGGCTCAGCACCCTTTTGCTAAGGGGACATAACTGTGTATAAGTGGAAGGTGTGGAAACCCCTGGTGTCAGAATATGACCTGGACTATGATACCAAGCGAGGCTATATAGTCTTGAAATTTATTTGTCCCCCAACAGTTCCCGTGGGGGACTATAGGTTTGCACTCGGTGCGTCGAAGAAGTTTGTCCGGGACATAACTTCTATATTATTATGGAGTATCAAGATTTGGTGAACAAGGACATCTTAAGATGGCAGAGTGCAAGAAGTAGCTATCGGTCGGTCAGTCGGTCGGTCGGTCGGTTGGTCGGGTCGGGTCGGGCAGTCCCATTTGGCAGAGTATTGGCCCCTTGAACAACAAAAAACGTAATTATCAGTATGCTGGGTTTTGTTTCTTTGCAATAACTATAACAAATATTAACCGACGTGGTTCGATTTTGATGAAAAGTGGTATATAGGGGTATTAGGAGACTGCAAATTCAACCACAGAGGTTTCGTTGCCATAGCAACCATATAGCAACCACAAGAAGGGTTCTGATTGGTGGAAATTCAGATATTGTTCGATTTTGATGAAAATCATTATAGAGGGTATAAGGGGACTGCAAATTCAAATAGCAACCCCATGGAAGCTTCTTATTGGTCGAAATTTAAATATTTTTCGATTTTTTATGAAATTTGGTATATAGAGATATTAGGGGACTGCAAATAAAACCGCATGAGTTTCCTTACCATAGCAACCATACGGAGGCTTCTGATTGGTCGCATTTTTGGATATTGTTTGATTTCGATGAAAATTGTTATATAGGGGTATTAGGGGACTGCAAATTCAACCACATAGGTTTCGTTGCCATAGCAACCATATAGCAACCACATGAAGGGTTCTGATTGGTGGAAATTCAGATATTGTTCGATTTTGATGAAAATCATTATAAAGGGTATAAGGGGACTGACTGCAAATTCAAATAGCAACCCCAAGGAAGCATCTTATTGGTCGAAATTTAGTTATTTTTTCGATTTTTTATGAAAATTGGTATATAGAGATATTAGGGGACTGCAAATATGTTCCATTGCCATAGCAACTACACAGGGGATTCTGATTGGTTGCAATTTAGAAATTGCTAATTTTTTTTTCAAATTTAGTGAACATTGTGTACGTAGGTGACATGTACTATGGCAATGCGATCCTTTTCTGATGCATCTTTGCGACTATGGGGGCAGTTTGGGGGACATCTGTAATGGTCCCCCATTACAATTAGTACTTGTTGCTGTAGATATTGTTAAGATGTTTCAATCAACAACTTGTTGGAGTTCAGATCGAGTTATAAATCTATTTTCTGCACAGTAAAGAGTTATCATCATGCAGCACCTGTCAGATAAATGATTTAATGCCTACTCGTTTCTTTAATACCAATTAAGTGATTCCCAGTTATGGTCAAACTTTGGCCAGAGATTGCGGGCCTCGTAGTCAAAGATGTTAACAGACAATCTTATATATAATGTCAGCTAGTAACTCAGACTAAGCTTATGTTAGAGAAACTGTCAGTGTATACAGAGAATGTTAAACATATTAATTATTACAATGTAAGTACAGTGTTATAGGTTTGAGACCTGTCATGTGTTAAAGTGTAAGTAAAGTGTAGTTATTAAGTTGTTATGGAGTACCCAAAAAGACAAGCTTTTTATTAACATAGACCCTATTATTAATGTCTGTTGTCCAGTCAGTGTTTTCCTTAATCAACTTCTGCCTAACAAAAAGTCCAGGGTCACATTTTGGCTGTATGGTTCTTGATCAAATGAATTTTCACAACCAGGCAACTTCAATTTCACAGGGTTCAAATGCTTGGAAACCTTTGATCAACTTCTTTGTATAGCCAAGTTGCTTAAGTCATGATAGTCTTTAGTAGTATGCTGGAGGATTCATGTTGTTCAAATGAATACCCTAATTAACCCTGGATCTCCTTTCAATAATCGAGGGATATTAAGTGTGTTAAAATACTTGTGACTTAATTCTTAATAGCAAATTAAAGTTGCCCAGTAGCATGGAGTACTCAGGTGTTAAGGTGGCTCCACCCTTTCGCAATTAGCCAGAAGAATTCAATGAAAGTTTCACATAATGGTTATGTCAATATGTAGAGACGATTTTATGAAAATCTAAGCATTCTGATAATCTGGGGGATTTTTTTGTAAAAAATACTGAAAAAATGAACTTTTGTCAATTCAACACTTTCACATTTTTTGAGTGTGTGGACTTGTTCAAAACTATTACAACAATAAAATAATGAAAAGAAACATTGCTGATCAACCCTACAAATATTGTATTTATCATAAAATATCTACAACATGTTACAAAAAGTGTTGTTTATTGAAATTGTATGGATACAAGTTACTGAATACAAGCTTAAAGCAAACAGGACACATACGTGTCATACAAAAAGAGTGAAATATTGAACAAAATACACACAAAGTCTTTATAATTCATTTATTTTACATTTTATAATAATATTGATCCTGATGAGAGTTATGTCTACCTTGAAAAGAATCGAAACTTTTTGCAGAGGGATAGAATTTATACAATGACACTTATTTTCTTTACTATACCAAAAACGACGGAAATAAATCAAATTACTATATTTAATTGTCAATTTACTGTTCTTAAATGGAACAAAATTACTCTCAATCATGTACACTTTGGACATCATTCCATAGCCCGCTTACGCATGGTATATTTACATGTCAGGTACATATATGTAACCATAGGCTATCGCATGGTATGCTGTTGTCACGTGCACGCACATGCACTTGCATTTTATAGGGATCTTGATATTTTACAAACCACTATTTTCATGGAGTTATTGTAATTGCATTTGTGTAACGATTTATCTGACAGAGCATAACTCGCTCCACAACAAAAGTCCTAGCCACCAAGAGCTTGTGAACTACTGTTGGCACGTGATACGTACAGGTGAGGTCGGTAAACAAAACACATCAGTCTGCATTCCATGCGCCTCATACAACCTTCTTGGAGTTGTCTCATCTTATGTCAGTGTCTTCCTGTGAGTTAATTAATGTCTGTCTATCATAAGCTTTATTTTAGAAGGACGTGTGATTACACATTTCTTAGTTAAGTCTCGATATCGGGTGTTGACATACCATCGTTACGCACGTGTACCATTGTTTACCCGGTGTTACTATAATTTACACTACGGTAATGGAATGCCCGATACGCAATACGGAAATGACGACACGAAAATACAACAAGAACAACATGTGTATTACGAAGGGTGGGAAGTCCTTAAATAGTTTACAGCATTGAATTGCCCGATACACAATACGGAAATGACAGCACAAAAGTACAGTAAGAAAACCATTATTACCAAGTGTGGAAAGTCCTATAGCAAGGTTTACACTTGCATCCACTCGTTCCTTTTGTCAGATTTTGAACGTATGATATTTAAGTGTTAGCTACTGATGTATTTTGATGTTTCAGGGTTACATTGAGATAACTCTGAACAGAGTAAGAGCATCCTTAGGTTCCCTGCTTTCACCAATCCACCTGTGTAGTGAAGCGCTGCTGCTCGATGCCAGCACCTCCGAGGATCCCGAAGGAACTTTGACTCTCGCAGATTTCCAGTAAGTTTGCTAGTACCAGAATAGAAGATGCAAAATGTGAGCAAAAAATATTACTTTTCTTCCTTGCCTTTAATTGCCTGATACCTTCCATATGTGAGGTCCACTTTGTTAGACATCCTCACTGCCTGGGTTCCTCCTTACACCAGCTCGGCCGGGGGTGTCTCGTCTTTTTAGGGGGGCGTCTCCCTTACCTTGATCCTGAGCCCCAAATACCTGACATTCCACCTGGCCTTTTTTTCTCAACCCATAAGTCATTTTAAAAATATCTATAATATCATTTGTATTAGAAAAGTTACAAAATTTTGCACGCTTAGTCTAAAACTTGCTATATAGTCTTTTTGATTAATTGGTTTTTGTCTCGCCGCCACTAATTGGAAGCAATACTTAATTAGGTGTTGCTTTTCCGGCAACGGTGGCATCAACATAAAGTTTTTGTTTTTAAGTTAGTTTTTGCTTATAAATATCATGAAATCTTTGTTCAGTTGTTCTGTATATTGTTCTATATGTTATTTATTGTTTTTTTCTATTAGTGCTAACATTATCCAATAGATAACTAAATCCTGATTTGTTGATTTCAGCTTTGCTGTTTAAAATCCATCTAGCATCTGACAACATGCTTTCCTCGTAACATGTTTTTTAGGTCACCTGAGACAAAGTCTCAAGTGACCTATTGCGATCGCCTTTTATCTGTCGTGCGTCCGTAAACAATTTACATTTTCGACTTCTTCTCCAAAACCCCTGAACCAATTTCAATGAAATTTGGCAGAAACCTTCCATGGCCAAAGGTCAACAAAAGTAGTTGCGGGTTTGGTCCCCTGCCCCCAGGGGCCTGAGGGGCGGGGCCAAAAGGGGCAAATTGACTAAAATTTCAAAAATCTTCTTCTCAAGAGCCAGATATGGTAGAATCAAATACTCGTCATAGATGGAAAGGGTCTTAAGATGCTTTACCAAAATTGTGAATTTCTTGACCCTGGGGTCTCACGCTTCCCCCTGGGGAGGGGGTTAACTTTACTATTGTTTATATAGGGAAACTACATTTTGGACCAAAATTGTTTAACTGCCATTGGAAGTAATTCAATTTAGGTTAGCATTATCAGTATTGGGTAGCAGTTTGATGGTATGCACATATGAGCCCTGACTGACCCCCCGGGCTATTGGGTGGGGCCAAAAAGGGTCGAATTGACTGAAATTTTAAAAATCTTCTTCTTAAGACCCAGATATGGCGGGGCCCAATAGGGGAAATATAGGAAATTCTTTAAAATCTTTCTCCTTCTGTAGGAATGAAAGGATTTGTTCCATATTTGGTCAGAAGCATCCTTGGGGGAGATAAACCAATTTTGTATAAACTGTGGGTCTGGCCCCCCAGGTCCTGATGGGCGAGGCCGAATAGGGGAAACATAGCAAATTATTCTTTAAAATCCTTCTTCTTCTGTAGGAATGAAAGGATTTGGTCCATATTTGGTGTGGAGCATCCTTGGGTAAAGGGGAACCAATAATGTATAAACGGTGGGTGTGGCCCCCTTTGGGGCTGAGGGGTGGGGCCCAATAGGGGAAATAAAGGTAAAACTTTTAAAATCCTTCTTCGACCATCGGGATTAAGGGATTTTATCCTAATTTGGTCTGGAGGATCCTATGGCCAAGGGGACTCAATTTTGTATAAGCAGTGGGTGTGGTCTCCAAGGGGGCAAAAGGACTGGGCCCAATATGGGAAATAGAGGGAAATCTAAAATCCTTCTTCTACCATAGGGATGAAGGGATTTCTTCCCAATTTGGTCTGGAGGATCCTGGGCAAAAGGGACTCAAATTTGTATAAACAGTGAGTGTGGCCCCCCTGGGGGCAGATTGGCAGGGCCCATTAGGGAAAACATAGCAAATTCTTCAAAAACCTTCTTCTGTACCTATGACAGGATTTTGTCCAAATTTGGTATGAAGCTTCCTTGGGTTAAGGGGAACCAATTTTGTATAAACGGTGTTTCTAACCCCCCTGGAAGCAGAGAGGCGGGGCCCAATAGGGGAATTATAGCTAAAACCTTTAAAATCCTCTAATCTACCATAGGGATTAAGGGATTTTACCCTAATTAGGGCCCCGTATCTGAGATACGGGTGCCCTATAGTAATCACTGTCTGTCTGTCTGTCTGTCTGTCTGTCCACAAATTTTGTTCCTGGCTGATAACTTTAGTATTTATTGACCGATGTACATGAAACTTGGTCAAGATGTTCAGTTCACAAAAATACACATTGAGGTAAAAAGTCAAGGTCAAAGGTTAAGGTCATTAGGTTCAAAGGTCAAGGTCAAATTTTACATCTACTCACTATTGAACATTTTGTTATGACATTATGAAGCAAAGTTGCATGATCAGAACTAAACAAGGAGTCAACTGAATAAAGGTCAAGGTCATCAGGTCTGGGGTAAAGGTCAAATTTAGTAGCTTTTCACTGGTGAATATTTCGCTATGACATTATAAAGCAAAGTTGTTAGGAATTAAACAAAGAGACACAATGAGGTAAAAAGTCGAGGTCAAAGGTCAAGGCCATTAGATTCAAAGGTCAAGGTCAAATTTTGCATCTTTTCACTGATAAACATTTTGTTATGACATGATGAAGCGAAATTGTTCAGAATTAAACAAGGAGTCAACTGACTAAAGGTCAAGGTCATTGGGCGAAAGGTCAAGGTTAAATTTTGTATCTTTTCACTGGTGAACATTTCGCTATGACACTTTGAAGCAATGTTGCTCAGAATTAAACAACGAGTCAATTGACCAAATGTCAAGGTCACTGGGTCAAAGGTGAAGGTTAAATTTTGTACCTTTTCCCTGATGAACATTTTGTTATGTTATTATGAAGCAATGTTGTTCAGAACTTAACACAGAGTCAACTGACCTTAGGTCCAGGTTACTGGGTTCAAAGGGTCAAGGTAAAGTTTGTATTTTTTACTGATTAACATTTTGTTATGATATTAAGAAGCAAAGTTGGTCGGAATTATAGAATCAGTCAACCGACCAAAGATCAGGGTCACTGGGTTAATGGTCAAGGTCATTTTGGTCCAAAGGTCAAAGACAAAGTGGATCTCTGACTTTGACCCTGGCTCTTGACGGAGTAGGTATATAAGGTGAGATAAAACAAATCAAAGCTAACAAATGAGTATTGTACCGGTATATACATTTCTGTTAGCCCAGCAAATATTGAGGTGGAAGGAAACAAGCCTCGCATCATAGTACATGTAAAATGTATATTTTGCTTCCTTTTTGAAGTCCAAATGTCAAACGTCAAGCTCAGCTATATGGGCAGATTGCTTCTTGATGATTATTGCCACAAGACGGGGCCCTTACTGACCTATCAGTGTTCTAGTTTAGTCACTAGCAACCTTAGGCCAAGGGGACTCAATTTTGTATAAGCAGTGGTTGTGGTCTCCCAGGGAGCAGAAGGGCGGGGCCCAATAGGAGAAATACAGGTAAAACCTTTAAAATCCTTCTTCGGCCATCGGGATTAAGGGATTTTATCCTTATTTAGTCTGGAGCATCCTTGGGCCAAGGGGACTTTTTGTATAAACAGTGGGTATAACCCCCCTAGGGGCATAGCGGTGGGGCTCTGTTTGAAGTTTGTTCTTGCTATTTCTCAAGTATTGGATGGATCTTTCTGAAATTTCATATGTACTTACAGCACCTACCATTGAGTGTTATATCTTTACTTCATACCAATTATTTTAAACACATTCAGGTGATCGATACAGGCCCTCTGGGCCTCTTGTTGTTTTTTGTCACTGAATAATATTTCTGTTTGTGTTAAAAACAACTCTCTGTATAAATATATCAGGTGACCGTTAAGGCCCATGGGCCTCTTGTTTAATGCAGTTCTATTTTTTTTTTACAAGTGTTGAATCATTTTGAGTTTTCTACGTACAGATAATGGCAATTTTCCTAACTCACTGTAAATTAAGTTATTACAAGTGCTGTTATTTACTCCCAAGTTGTCCTTTATAAAAATTGATGTGTAGATTCTCAACACCCACAGCCTTATATGCCTCCGAACCCTATCCTACTGAACTGTAACCTAAGATGCTGTTAACATAGGTATCAAAAACAGGTGATTGAATTTCAATATAAGAATCATCATCTTTATGCGCCCGTTGAAGACGGGGACGTATTATGTTATCACGTGAGCGGTCGGGCGGTCATGCGAACGATGTCCACTCGATATCTCAAGTAATTATGATTGGATTAACTTCAAACTTCACAACAAGATTAATTACCATGAAAGCTCGGACAAGTTCGATACCCGCCATTATCCAACCATAATTTGTGGAGTTATGCCCCTTTATGGACTTGCCGAAACAGTGTCCGCTCAATATCTCGAGTAATTATAAACGGATTACCTTCAAACTTCACAACAAGGTTAATTACCATGAAACCTTGGACAAGTTCAATAACCGCCATTATCCGACCATAATTTGTGGAGTTATGCCCCTTTATTGACTTGCCGAAACAGTGTCCGCTCGATATCTCGAGTAATTATTAACGGATTAACTTCAAACTTCACAACAAGGTTATTCACCATGAAACCTCAGACAAGTTTGATAACCGCCATTATCTGACCATAATTTGTGGAGTCATGCCCTTTACTTGACGAAACAGTGTCCGCTCGATATCTCGAGTAATTATTAACGGATTAACTTCAAACTTCACAACAAGTTTAATTACTATAAAACCTCGGACAAGTTTGATAACTGCCATTATCTGACCATAATTGGTGAGGTAATGCCCCTTTATGGACTTGCCGAAACAGTGTCCGCTCAATATCTCGAGTAATTATTAACAGATTAACTTCAAACTTCACAACAAGATTATTCACCATGAAACCTGAGACAAGTTTGATAACCGCCATTATCTGACCATAATTTGTGGAGTTATGCCCCTTTATGGACTCTCCGAAACAGTGTCCGCTCGATATCTCTAGTAATTATTAACGGATTAACTTCAACCTTCACAACAAGGTCAATTACCATGAAACCTCGGACAAGTTCGATAATCGCCATTATCCGACCATAATTTGTGGAGTTATGCCCCTTTATGGACTTGCCGAAACAGTGCCCTCTCGATATCTAGAGTAATTATTAACGGATTAACTTCAAACTTCACAATAAGGTTAATTAACATGAAACCTTGGACAAGTTTGATAACCATTATTATCCGACAGTAATTATTGGAGTTATTCCCCTTGGTTTCATTAATGCGCTGCATGCGTTCGATGATGTTGTATTGCACTCATTGATCTACCAGTTATGTTGAATGATTTCTCTTTTAATATCAATTTCTCACAAATACTTAATATATTTCAATCATACAAACAACTGCTCATTCAATGTGAGACGGGCGTATTATATACCGCTCGCGGTAACCTTGTTGAACTTATTACAACGTGCATAATTAAACTGTTTTAGATTTTCCTGGACCTGTGTGATGGATGATGTGTTGCCTTGCTCCATCTTTGGAGTAGCTATTGGTAGTGACAACATCACCATGCCTTTTACAGGTATATGTGTAAACTAATTCATCCTTACAGTCTGTAGACATTGGAACATCACATTGTAGTTTTATATATTACTTTAGAGCGTCAATATTTTACTTTAAACAACTTCTTCTTAATAACCAAAAGGCCTAGGGTGATGATATTTGGCCAGAAGCAAACAGGAATGAAGTGCTACCATGTTTGTTCAAATAAATGACCTTCACCTATTTTCAAGGTCACAGGGGTCAAATATGTTAAAAACTTGAAACAACTTCTTCTGAATAACCAAAATGGCAAGAGTGATTATAATTGGCCAGAAGCATGCTGGGATGAAGGGCTACCAAGTTTGTTCAAATGAATGACCTTGACAAATATTCAAGGTCACAGGGGTCAAATATGTTCTAAACATTTAAACAACTTCTTCTGAATAACCAAGAGGCCTAGGGTGCTTACATTTGGCCAGTAACATGCTAGGATGAAAGACTAGCAAGTTTGTTCAAATAAATGACCTTGAATTATATTCAAGGTCACAGGGGTCAAATATGTACAAAACATTTAAACAACTCCTTCTGAATAACCAAGAGGCCAAGGGTGAGGATATTTGGCCATTAACATGCTGGTATGAAGGGCTACCAAGTTTGTTCAAATGAATGACCTTCGCCCATACTCAAGGTTACAGTGGTCAATATATGTTTAAATCTTTAAATGATTTTTGTTCTGTATAACCAAAAGGTCCAGGGTAATGATATTTTGCTAGAAGCATGCTGGGTTTGAAGACTATAAACTCTGTTCAATCTAATGTCCTTGTTCGACATTCAAGGTCACAGGCGTCATGTTTAAATCTTTTAGTAAGTTTTTTAACTCACCTGGTCAGAAGGACCATGGTGAGCTTATGCCATAACGCAGCGTCTGTTGTCCGCGTCCGTTGTCCGTCCGTCCATCAACTTTCCTTTCAAACGCTACTTGTCATGAACGACTGAGCAGATTTTGACCAAATTTGGTCAGAAGCATCCTTATGGAATGGGGAACAAATTTTATATAAATGATGGGTGTGGCCCCCCTTGGGGCTGAGAGGCGGGGCCCAATAGGGGAAATATACCAAATTCTTTAAAATCCATCTTCTTCTGTAGGAATGAAAGGATTTGTTCCATATTTGGTCTGAAGCATCCTTGAGTGAAGGGGAACCAATTTGTATAAACAGTGGGTGTGGCCTCCTAGGGACCCGAGGGGTGGGGCCAAATAGGGGAAACATAGCAAATTATTTAAAATCCTTCTTATTCTGTAGGAATTAAAGGATTTGTTCCATATTTAGTCTGAAGCATCCTTGGGTGAAGGCGGGAATTTTTTGTATAAACCGTGGTGTGACCTCCCAGGGGCCTGAGGGGCGGGCCAAATAGGGGAAACATAGCAAATTCTTTAAAATCCTTCTTATTCTGTAGGAATGAATGGATTTGGTCCATATTTGGTCTGAAGAATTCTTGGGTGAAGGGAAACCAATTTTGTATTTATATATAAACAATGGGTCTAGCCCCCTAGGGGTCTGAGGGGCCCAATAGGGGAAATATAGGTAAAACCTTTATAACCCTTCTTCTACCATAGGGATTAAGGGATTTTTTCCATATTTAGTCTGGAGCATCCTTGGACCAAGGGGTCTCAATTTTGTATAATTGGTGGGTATGACCCCCCTAGGGGCATAGGGGTGGGGCTCTGTTTGAAGTTTGTTCTCGCTATATCTGAAGTACTGGATGGATCTTTCTTAAATTTCATATATAATTACAGCACCTACCATGGAGTGTTATATCTTTACTTCATACCAATTATTTTAAACATATTCAGGTGAGCGATACAGGCCCTCTGGGCCTCTTGTTTTAACAACTTCTTCTGAACAACCAAGAAATTTAGAGATGATATTTGGCCGGTAGCATGCTGACATAAAGCCCAAAAGGGTTGTTCAAATGAATAGCCTTGTTTGACCTTCAAGGTCACAGGGTCAGGTATCTTAACCAATACCAAAATTTGCTTACAATCAGCAGATGAGCAGCACTGTGAGTGATGATGAGCTGCTCACGTGAGATCTTACATAGTAAATTCTCATGTGCATTTGAACATGCAAATGAGGGTGAAATCTCATGTGAGCAAAATGCTCATGCAAACAGAAAACTCACAAGAGGAATATATGCTCATTCCCTCATGTGTGCAAAAGATTTGAAATATCATCGTCTTTGAATTGAAGCATTCAAAATTTTAACTGAAATTGCAATCTAAATACTCACGTATATACATATATATAAATAATCAAAAGATTAGATGTATAAGTCATGATAAGAGCTTTAATGTAGATAATCAAGTGCCAACTGTTAGCATTTATGCAAGTGTTCAAAGTCCATGTATACTCTTTGAACAGGTTAAAATTTGAAAACTCATATGATAGACTTAGATATGTTGTTATATATTGATCTCATATCGCATAGCTTTATCACCTTGCAAATAATCATTTAACAAAGTTGCTATGAATATACAGTATCACTCAGTGACACTGTAGCACTGACATTGAACTCGGGATACATTGAAAAAAAAACACCAAAAAAACCTCTGCTGGTTTTTTATATTTTCTTTATAGTTGAACCCGGTTACATTGAAAAACTGCTTTAATTGAAAGGTTTTTCATTCCCTGTAAACACTAATTGCGTTAAAACAATATTGACTAGTGGCCTTTTTTTTGTCTTTTTTTTTTCAAATACTACATAAACATATCAAGTGAGTCTCCTTATGTCAAAAAAAGATCGAATTTTGCTGATATGTATTCATAAAAATGAAAAATTTAAAGATAATTATCGGGATTTCTACCTGTTTGACCAACGCTTTGTTCAAAGATTTCCCTGTGCCAGAGCTACCATAACGCATGCGCATAGCACGCCATTTCATAATGAACAAAATGACTGGCCGTGGGAAGTATAAGCGAGTGAAAAGTTGACAAATGGGCAAAAGATAGCGCAAGGATTACGTTACGTAAGCATTTTTGTAGGTGGGAAGTATTCAAAGGGAAAATAAGTGCCCTAGCAGCTAGAATGGTGCATGTATTCTTCCGGATAGCCAGTTAAAAGCTGAAATGGAATTGACAGAAATGCTGTTTATGTTATGAATAAATATCTAAAAATACTAACCTCGCTTGTATCTTTGTGTAAGTTGGAACACAGATGAACTTATTTTTTTAGGTTAATGGGCATGTATCGGAGAGAGTTTACTTTGCGATTCTATGTACAGTTGACTGTTTAGTTTGATTTTGCTATGGGGCCCTCCAAGGGATAACTGTTGTGATGTTCTGTTCTCTCCTCTGTTGATACTTGTGGTCACTTAAGATGAGATGCATGCGCAGATTTCATCACAGAATTAGATTACTATCTAAGTCCGCGGTTTCATAGTGCAGTGAAAAATTAGTTGCAGTTGCTAACAGCCCCTCACTGGGGGCCCCTTTGGAAACTTTGCATCTCTGTCAGACCTCCAGTGTTTACTGCCTCATTTCTGAACAGTCACGTGACGTTATTGGAGCTATTTTAAAAAGGGCTTTCCCAAACAATTCAAGTGGTCAAACTGGACATTTGGAAAGGACTATGAATATGGGAATAGCAAGGTAACATAAGTGGAAGAGCATACAACACATTTCTTCGTTAAAAAAATTTATGGCTCTTCACTAGATGTCCCTTTAAAGTACAAATCTAAGCAAATTTTTCAGGAACATCTTGTCCTGGCTGTAACTTTTAAATCCTTAAGATATCTTGATGAAACTTGAACTATACCTGCATCACCCACTGGCCATAGATGACGTGCAATGCGCTGTCATTTGGACATTGTGACCTTGACCCCAAAGGTCAAATATGTGCAAATTTTTCAGGAACATCTTGTCGGGGCTGTAACTTTTAAAGCATTAAAGATTTCTTGACGAAACTTGTAGTATAACTTCATCACCTGATGTGCAATGCAGTGCCATTAGGTCACTTTGGACTTTACCTCAAGGTCAAAGGTAAAAAAAAGTGATTGTTGCAAGCATTTAAAGGTTAATTGTCAAGGTGATGCCAACGGTCCCTCACTGAGTCTAATTTTGCTTAAACTTAGAATGCAAGTATATGATGTCATTGTTAACTCTATCCATGCATCATTTGCAACTATTGGGTCAATTTTGACGACTTCTGTAATGGTCCCTATTACAAATAGAATTTGTTCATATATGGATTATTAGCTCACCTGATCCAAGGTGAGCTTTATGCCATACAGTTGCATTCATCGTCCGAACGTCAACAATTTCTTCAAACAACTTCTTCTTAACCACTGATTGGAATTCAACTAAATTTGACTGGAGCATCCCTAGGTGGTGGAGATTCAAAATTGAACAAATGGTGTGGCTGACCCCCCAGGGGGCTGAGGGGCAGGCCAAAAAGGGTTATTTAGCTATACTGCTTTAAGTGACTTCTTCTCTGGAACTAAGATATGGATATCAACCATATTTGGCAGGATCTCTGGAAAGAGACTACAGAGCCAACAGAACGGCCATCATCTCGAGCATGTTGATGTGCTCTGAGATCTGTTCCCAAGACCACTCCCCCGACCGACAATGCTGTTGAGGTAAGCTCCCCACTCCGTCATGGACGCATCTGTGTACAGGGTCATAGTGGGAGCAGGCTTGGCCAAAGGAATCCCTTGGAGAACATTGTCCTGATGAGTCCACCAGCATACAAACTCCTTGACTGACTGGTTCAGAGGAAGCCAGGCTTTCCAATCCCTTGAAGAAGGAACCAGTTGGCAAGGAGAAACATCTGGAGAGGCCTGGTGTGAAGTCTCCCTATTGGGACCTTATCTGCCAGGGCATTGAGATAACCCAGAAAGAAGTGGAAGGGCGATGCCCTGAACCTTATTGAAATGGTTCCCCAGGAAATTGAAAGGAAGGAATGAAGTCGACCTTGAGTAAGACTTTCAGAACCAACCGGGTGTCCTGCACCAGAAACTCTCACTAGATAGAGCATGAGGGA